ATAAGCTTTATCTGCATTGATAAAATATGGTCTCTGATATTGTTTAGGATACAGGGTTTGCAGTATTATTTTATTGAAATCAGGGTTTTGGAAAGATTAATTAACCTTGATTTGTGTTTTGATGTTATGATGTCTATATTCTATTCTTCAAAAGAAAGTATATCATGTTTTCTTACTGATGGCCAATCTTTCATTGAGCAGTTAAGTCTTAGTCAGTTAGCAGCAGTAATTGGATGTTTATACTACGTAAAGAAGAGAGGATCCATTAACCTGGGGCTTCCTGGAAATAAATAAGTGGGAAATGGCTTCATGTATTTGAGAGAAATACATCTCCTCCACCCCACCCCACTGAGAGCCAGAAACTTAAAAATTGTGAATTTGCCTTGCAAATGAGTGTGCCTTCCCTCTGGTGACATGTTAGTTTAGAGCCACTTGTCCAGGATCTACTGTTTTATATATATATATATATATATATAAAAAGTTGTGCATGTCCAATAATTCAAAAATCTTAAATCTTAAATAAAATCTTAAATAAAAAGAAGGCCTTAAAGTGTAAAACTGCAAAGACTTTTTAAAATCAAGATGGGATTTTCATCATCGATTTTCAATGTCGAAAGAAAATACTGTCAAAAGTAATTTGTCTTTAGTTATGTAAGGTGTACATTGTTATTGGCATGAATCATTGTTGCTTATCATATATGGAGTGACAAAACATTTTTTTAGCCAACCCTCAATATCCACCATTCTAATTTCTCCTGAATTATCTGGTGTTCTTGGCCACTGCATAATGTCTATATCCAACTGGCTTAATTCAACTCTGCATCCTGCCAAGAGTTGTCTTTATACATTTCATTTTATCCTGTTGTCTGTAGCCATTGGTCTTTAAAAAAAACTCTGTAATGATTGGTTGTTATTGAGATGAGAACAGTTATTATTGAAAGAAACGATGATGATGATAAATTATTGTTGTTGGTGTAATGATGACTTCATGATTAAGGAAACAGAACAGGAAACGAGAAAGGATGGGTGGAAATTCAGCAATATTGCATTCGTATACATGAGTCATACTGTATAATTTAAAAGCCTGGTGAATTATAGCCTTGCTTAGTGTGTTTGCTCAGTTTGAATACTATTGTTGTTTTAATGCCATGATCTCAGCACAGTGAGTATGTGTGGTACCCGCTGTGGTATGAATGGAGTTTGCAGGTCTCAGATCCCCAGCCTAACATCCTTTAACGGGGTCATATGATGCGATTTCAAGATTTCCTTTCTCTTTGGAGTGTTACAAGCAAACACATACCAGCTTCATCACTGTGTCTGTCACGCAACGCTGTTCCCCTTTCGGGCTTGAACTGATGGTAAAACTAATGACATTATTTACTGTCTTTACATTTATTTTGAAAGATGAAGCTCGTGATTATGGTAAGGGGCATTACATTTCCGACGAGGGCTTGGTGTTCGGCCAATCACAATGCACTGGGTCAGCTGGCCAATCAGAGCAGACTGCGCTTGTCGGAAGGAAGGACTTTGTAGAAAACAAAGCGTTTGAGAGAGGCGGGGCATAGAGGACCTACAAAAATGTACAGTATTTGAAAAATAATGTGTTTTTTGAACATTAAAGCATGTCAGCATATTCTGTTACACCAAATACATAAAATAATGATCTTTAAAAAAGCATCATATGACCCCTTTAAATGAGTGTGATAATGCTCATATTCAGATAAGGCATTCAATCAGAGTATTTTTCTCTGTCTGTTTCCTGTCTCAGGAGAAGGGAGGATAAATCCACATACTGAGGGATTATATGTTGTCTTCACCTGCTTCTGAATGTTCACTTTGAAGTGATGAAACATTTTGAAAAGGGTTGTGGAGAGGAGAGAGGATTTACCTCGCACCGCTCTGTAAAGGCATGTTTTGATCTGAATGGCTTCATATAAAATCCTTGTTCAGTATGTTCTGTATCACTTTTCCCCTCTTTACCTGATGTACCTGATTACAGTTTAATACATAATATTTTAATATTTTTTGCCAGGTCAAACACATTGGGCAAAATGATTTTTCTTTTCTTTTATTTAATTGTATTTATTTATTTATTTATTTTTTGGTAACCGGTTCCGATCAGACCACTTTTTACATGCCATCTAAAAGATTCTTTTGGAGAGACATTCCTTTAATCTCTCATTTCTGGTTTGTTTACTGTATCTGATTACAGTTTAATTACAGTAAATAAAGCCTAAGAGTACATCATAGTGGAAAACACTTCTCACAATCCTATTGATTTTGATCAAATGTAATGGTAGCTGTGAATAGAGAATGTGGATGCATTTCGCTTCAACATCAATCAGTTTGGTTTCTTTAACTCAGGAAATCTAGTAACTCATTTTGAATATGTGATTCCCTGAAGCTGATAGACGAAATGCCTCTGAACTTGTCTATGGATATTACATCCTCAGGTGTGCTGAAAGATGATACCTTTGCTTCTCAAACTCCTGACCTCCTCACTGTATCCTTACACTAATTATGCATGAATTTACCAAACAAAACATGTTGTTATAAAGGCTTATATCAATGTCTTCTTAATTGCAATATATAGGCTTTAAGAATAATTCATAATTGAAAGGTGTTGAAAAATTGAAAGGTGATATAAAATCAGCAGCCTTGAAAATGGTAGCATGTTGCAATAGGTGTTATATACAGTGTAAAACTTGATGCATAGTAATGCATGTTGAAAGCATTTGCCGACGTGTGGCCATATGGCCTGTAGCAGACAAATACTGTTGGAATGAGGTAAAGGAAAATGCTCGTAATTGCTACTTCAAAGTGGAATGCGGGTCTTAATTGTAGCTTGACTAATAATAGTTAATGACCAGAAATAACAAATAATAGTGGAGTCAAATAAACAAAACCACTGTGTTCACAAGAAGCATTTGGAGAAAGTGGAGTGTTTTCTCTGTGCATCCTGCTTTCTATTATCCTTACACTCAAAGGTTTTGAAAGTGTTTATTTTTTTAAGGTTTTATTTATTTGTTTATTTATTTATTTTTGCAGCAGTGCTATAGAAGAACCATTTTGGCTTCAAAAACCTTTCAGTGAATAGTTCTTGTCATTTATTTCTTAGTGTGAAGAACACTTTTTTTCACTACAAAGAATCTCCTGTGCAATAAAATTTATTTATCAAAGTTATCAAATTCTTCTGGAAAACATTCAAAACCTTTATTGAAAATGATGTTGTATGGCAAATAGAAAGGACTTTTTTTTTTTAATTATTGTTTTTTTACTGCATGCTGTTTTTAAAGATTTGCATTAGGTCACTACACATTAGGCACATTTTTTTTTCCTTCACCTGAAGCATATATGTTTCAGCCTGTTTGCATCTATTGGATGCATGCATATAATACATTGTTCACAATATCCTTATTTATTAATACTATGCATTTCATGCTTGTGACCCATTTTCTATAGCTTTCTCATCATAACATCAAATCTCATGCTGCTGATTAGAGAGAATAAAGGAGATGAAGGGAAAATGTATTGTGCAAGCATGAACACATATGCCGTTGATTAGACAGCTATGTGTCAAGCTCTAGGTCATTATATGCTCTGTGAATATTTGTTTGTCAATTTATGCAAATGTGACAGGTTCACGCACTGCCATATGGCTGTCCATTAATAGACAAAAATTGTAAAATAAAGACTAACCACTAAGTAAAAAAGAAAAATGTGTTTGACAAAACTATGGTGTGTTATGTTATCTTACAGTTTCATAAACTGCTTATTGTTTTTGCTTTAAATCTTTGTCTACATAAGCCTACAATTATGATTGTATGATTATTTGGATTTGTTTATGGAGGCCCTTACATTTCACATGAAAAGGGCTTATTGTGGGGTTGTTAACAGACAAGTAATTTGTTTTCAAGAAGAATTTTCCTTTATTTCCCTTTTTAAATTTATTTTCATGCTGCAAATTAAACTGAATTTAAAGTTATAGATAACGATAAAGTGTCATCAGATCACCCTCATGTCATTTAAAACCTGTTTGGCTTTCTTCTTTCTGTGGAACACAAAACAGATTGTACAAGTCACTGGGGTCCAAACAATATTAGACCACTTTGACTTTTATTGTACGGACAAGAAGAAGAAAAAAAACGTTTTCAGATATTTTCTTTTGTGTTTTACAGAAAGAAACAAAGTCATACAGCTTTGGACCAACATGAGAGAATTTTTGGGTGAATTAACCCTTTAAGAAAATATCATTGCCCATATTCTGTTAGACTTTTTATTATTATTATTATTATTATTAGTTATGCTCCATTATGTTATGCATTACAAGAATGAGTCCACCTATAATAATTGCAACATCTAATTTAAACGGTTTCATTTAAGTAAAAAAAAAAAAGATTATTGGTGAATCAACCTACATATGTCTATTTATACCAAAACTACTTTATATAGGTTAAATCATGTAGAAATGTCTCTTTAAAGTAATAATTGCAGGTTACCACCTTTTGCTGTGTGTTGTGTTTTGTCAGTAAACCTAAAATGTACTCCGTGTGATAACATCTGTTTTTAAAGTAAAAATATAATATGATTGAATTTACCTGACTGCTATAGTTATGCCAATTAAAGTCATTTTTATACGGTAACATCTTTATTAATTAAGCTTTATAAGGAAACATCTTGACATCCTCACTTTATGGAGTGCATTGAATATAGGCTATCTGACATCTAATGTTGGTTTCAAGCAATAATTAATAGTTTCACAGTGTGCAAGCTCTTGTGCAGCTGTTCAACCTGTTGATGTATTATAGATTCTAAAGTGATGATTACGAGGGCTTATTTTCTTGAACATCAACCATCTCTTGCTACGGTGTATCAGTATATCCTATATGAGCAGTTTGCAAACCGGCCGGGTGGCTATGATGGATCAATCACATTGCATGAGCTGACGCAAATGACCCTGCTCTCTTTCAAGAACTCATTCAAAACGAACATGGCGGCAACGTAACGTTTGGCCAAAATGACTGTGGATCATTTCGCGAGAAAAGATCCCACCTTGTCGGACCGAGGAGGCGAGATTCGGCGTGTTGAAACGAGGAGTCCTTGCGCTTTCCACGAGCGAGCGGCCAGACAGTGGCTTTTCCGCGTTGTAGCGGCTCTGCGCAAAAGGGGAGAGCGGAACCCATGACAGACGAGCAGGGAGAGACATGTTGCTACCGATAGCTGTGTTTTTCTCCGGAGAAGCACGGGGAGAGGGGATTCGACAATGAAAGCATTAATTCCCCTGAACACAGCAGCTGATCGGGAATTGCAGTTAATCGCGGAGGTGAGCCACGACCGCTCGTCAGCCATCATTTAGTGGGCAAAACTCAAGGCAGACCTCCCGTCAATGACTATTGTGGCAGAAAAGCCCCCACGGTGGAGTCAGCCAGTGCTGCGCTTTCCCAAAATATGACCAGCGGTGCTTGGAGGTGTCGGCAGCGAGATGACGGCTTAAAAAATTGGAGTGCTCCCCGCGAGAACGAGAAGCCATTCACCGACTCCGAGAGGGCCCAGCGATGGCGATTGTCTTTAGCGTCCCTCTTATTTCTAACCGTTCTGCTTTCTGGTAATCTGTGGTTCTGCGCCGAGGCCAAACTGACAAGGACCCGAGACAAGTTCGCTTCAGTGGACATGAGCGCAAACCACAGACCCGACCTCCCTTCAACACACAGCAGCCTCAGAAGAAATGAAGATGCTATTTTTGTAGTCAATTCTACCAAACCTTTGTGGCAACTAGAAACTTGCCAGCCGGATGGTTTGTCTGAAAACTGCTTCACTTTTGTCGACGCTGACCACTTGTGCAGGGGCCTTTCGGAAACGGAGGGGACGCGGTGGATGAACATAAGCGATTTGTACCTTTCCTTTTGTAATTCGTACTCTCTTATGGATTTGCTTTATGGATCATTAAGTCCGGACAATTTGAACTGCAGCCTTGACGTGATCGTGGACGGCGACCTAAACAGGTGCAGTCTGTGCGTTCAGGCGTACCAGCGTTATGACCTGCACGCGCTGGAGAAATATGAGGAATTTGAGATGATGGCAGACAAATACGAGACGGATGTATACTCAGTAAGGACGTGCATGGAAGAATGCAAGGTAGGGCTTTATGATCTGGATCTCTCGTTTTCGCTGGATAGAGTTGGCTCTTCGTTCTCTGTCGTCATGGTAACTGGTGACAGTAACGCGGTGATGTTTTTGTGGGGGGAAAGTGCTTTTCATATTGTATTCGTTTTTCCCCGCATTTCGCATCTGTTGGTGGTGCCAACTTTGCAGTCATTTCATTTCCGAGACGGTTGGAGGGTGAAAAATCAGACAGGCTTTTAAACTTTTCCTTTACAGCTGTCTCAAATTATTCCTAGAGCGATCAACGCAAAATCCATGAGAACATGTTGCTGCTGATCCAAGGTTACTGTGTCAATGCACAAAACGCCGCACAGCAAATCTTTCAACGTGCGTGCGTCATTCTATAGCGCGCAGGTGCGTCTCTCTGAACTGAATATAGAGCTGCTCCGCCAGGTGTTCATTCACGTCCGCCACACTGAGTACATTTCAATAACGCTAATAGGGCAGCGGTGCTTTCTCGGCTAATCTCTCACAAGAGTATTTTCCCTCGCACATTGGTCTTGTTTGCACAGCACTCTGCGCGCGCTGCAACAGGGTGCCCTCTTAACCGCCATAAACTTGACATTAAGGTTAATTTTCGAGCTCCGGCTGTCATCTTAAATGGATTGCTCCTGGGCGACGAAAAAAATGGCACACTGTGTATAGTTGCTGTGTGCTGATAAGGAAGCGATCTGGCCGTGTTCTTTACGCGTCTGTGTTGCTTTGCGTAATTAATGGTCAAACATTTACCGAGAGCTTGTAAGTTGTCGTTTAAATTAAGGAGGCACAGATAAGCTGGTGAATAAGTGGGTGGCGTGTGCTTGGAAGTGTCGGCAGCGAGATGACGGCTTAAAAATTTGGTGTGCTCCCCGCGAGAACGAGAAGCCATTCACCGACTCCGAGAGGGCCCAGCGATGGCGATTGTCCTTAGCGTCCCTCTTATTTCTAACCGTTCTGCTTTCTGGTAATCTGTGGTTCTGCGCCGAGGCCAAACTGACAAGGACCCGAGACAAGTTCGCTTCAGTGGACATGAGCGCAAACCACAGACCCGACCTCCCTTCAACACACACCAGCCTCACAGGAAATGAAGTGGTTATTTTAGTCAATTCTACCAAACCTTTGTGGCAACTAGAAACTTGCCAGCCGGATGGTTTGTCTGAAAACTGCTTCACTTTTGTCGACGCTGACCACTTGTGCAGGGGCCTTTCGGAAACGGAGGGGACGCGGTGGATGAACATAAGCGATTTGTACCTTTCCTTTTGTAATTCGTACTCTCTTATGGATTTGCTTTATGGATCATTAAGTCCGGACAATTTGAACTGCAGCCTTGACGTGATCGTGGACGGCGACCTAAACAGGTGCAGTCTGTGCGTTCAGGCGTACCAGCGTTATGACCTGCACGCGCTGGAGAAATATGAGGAATTTGAGATGATGGCAGACAAATACGAGACGGATGTATACTCAGTAAGGACGTGCATGGAAGAATGCAAGGTAGGGCTTTATTATCTGGATCTCTCGTTTTCATTGAATAGAGTTGGCTCTTCGTTCTCAGTCGTCATGGTAACTGGTGACAGTAGCCTAACGTGGTGATGTTTTAGTGGGGAAAAGTGCATTTCCTATTGTATTCAGTTTTTTCCGCATTTCGTATCTGTTGGTGGTGCCAACTTTGCAGGCATGTCATTTCTAAGACAGTTTGAGAGTGAAAAATCAGACAAGCTTTTAAACTTTTCCTTTCCTCGTCTCTCAATTTATTCCTCGCTGGGGAGCGCGATCAACGCAAAATCCATTGTTCTGGTCTAATCTTACGGAGGAAATTAAATGTTGCTGCTGATTCAAGGTTACTGTGCCAATGCACAAAACGCCGCACAGCCAATCTTTTCAACGTGCGTGCGTCATTCTATAGCGCGCAGGTGCGTCTCTCTGAACTGAATATAGAGCTGCTCCGCCAGGTGTTCATTCACGTCCACCACACTGAGTACATTTCAATAACGCTAATAGGGCAGCGGTGCTTTCTCAGCTAATCTCTCACAAGAGTATTTTCCCTCGCTCATTGGTCTTGTTTGCACAGCACTCTGCGCACGCTGCAACGGGGTGCCCTCTTAACCACCATAAACTTGACATTAAGGTTAATTTTCGAGCTCCCGCTGTAATCTTAAATGGATTGCACCTGGGCGAAGAAAAAAAATGGCACACTGTGTATAGTTGCTGTGTGCTGATAAGGAAGCGATCTTGCCGTGTTCTTTACGTATGTGTTGCTTTGCGTAATTAAAGGTCAAACATTTACCGAGAGCTTGGAAGTTGTCGTTTAAATGGCACAGATAATCTGGTGAATAAGTAGGTGGCGTGTTTTGCTTACTCGCTGGTTCATTTGGCAAAGGATTGCAGCTCACGGAATCAGTGCTCGCTGTCCGTGGTGCTGAAACACGCTCAACAATGGACAGGCCTTTTGATGTAAGGGCCATATTGAATTATTACATGAGTGATTTGTATTTTACTACATTATCATAGCATTTGCATTTGTGATACATCTCCACTCCTAACAATCCACCTCTGCCTCTCTAAAGCACAAGAAAAAAGCTGTTTGCAACTGTTAATCCAAGATAATTGCAATAATGTAGTCAGTTTCAACACTATTTCATAGAGGCTGACAGAGAGGCTGTGTGCTTATTTCAACCTGTTGATGAGTTACATTTCTTTTCAGGACAATTCATACTAACGCCTGTGTGTGTTGTTTTCTTTGCCTTCGCCTTCGCCATATCTCAGCAAAGTGACAGCCACAGAATTGCTATACAGAAACATCCTATGAATAATCTCTCTGCAACAGCCTCTACAGAACAATTATTTCTATTAAATGTTTGCAAAGTATTGTTTGAGTATAGAAAGTCTGGCCAGTAACCACAAATTAGTATTTCGCGTTATTGTGGATGATAAGTCTACTACTGTTTTGCATCATTGTTCTTCTGTGCAGGAAAACATAAGTGCTCATCATTGCTGGCACAATACGGCTGAAGAATTTATATTGAATGCTTTTTAAACAAATCAATGGCTTTCAAATGGACAGGATGCATGTGGTAGAATATTTGGACTGTTTTGTTTCTCAGACAACAGATATTTTCAAGCGTCAACATAAATGTCGAAACATGTTACCGTTGCCTGATAAACTACCAGTGAGTGTGAATGAATGCCGTAATGCAGAGGGAGGTGGCAGGAGTCAGTCAGAGCCTCTGGCAAGCAGCTGTAAGGGATAGCCAGTCCCAGCTGTGATTAAGCAGCGAGAGATAGAGACAGAAAGAAAAACAGAGAAAGACTGAGAGGATGTGTGATCACTGTGACATGCCGTCTCTGACAGCCGGATCAGCCTTCGGGTTGATTTAATTCGGCGCCTTCCTTGTACTGCATCAGATTGTGGAAGACACTGTTACTTTGGTCTGTGTGAATGTGTTTGCATTGTGTGTAAATGTGTTAAAGGTTCAATTCAATTGCTATGAATAAACTAGACATTATAAATAGGTAACAAACAAATGATGGGAAGGGGTAGTGATTAGAGAAATAAATGAAGAAGGTTTTACTCAATAGTGTGCAATTCTTAGCTATTGTATTGAGCTATGTACTGTTGCACTGGTGTTACATCTAGGCTGTTCTGTGACAAAGCAATCACATCACTGATAACATGGACCACATTTAATGTCTCAGAGACCAAAAGTGGACAGTACTTTTATTCAAAGGTGAAATGCTTTTGATGTACTTAATTAATCATTAAAATGCTACAAAATAACTTTGAGAAGTCAATTTTGTTACTTGCCCTGACTATTCCACTCAGTATGATTCAAAATAATTTGATACTAAGAGTTAAAATCTGCTGTTTATTGCTGTAGCGAGGTGAAAATATGCTGTACTCATTACATTTCAATTAGAAATGTGGATGAAGACCTCCTAATGTATGTTATGAGTGTTTGGCATAGATCTTTCAGATTTCCTCTGATTGACTCTTATGGCCAATATAGAAAGGCTTGTGGTATGGAATTGATAGCTATTGGGATGAAACCCTATTTACTGAGAATAGATAAGGACAACATTCTTAATAGCATAGATATTTTTAGTACACCAATGGTATGATCGCTGCAAGGGTTTAGCACTGTTGCTTGTTAATTTCTTTAAAAGTTATCTCATTTTTGGGACATGTCTTTATCACCATTCTGTCTTGTTACTCACACTCCTTATATTTTCTCTATATATTGCAAGACAATTGAATAATTGATAATTGAATAATCTTCTCATATAGATTTTCATGTTTTCCCATTGTGTATCCTCTATCCAGAATTGCTAAATTAAAGGATTAGTTCCCCTCAAAATGTGAATTCTGTCATCATTTACTCAACCTCTTGTCATTACAAATACATTACATTATATGTTGACAGAATCAAAAATGGACAAAGTTTTTATTTTTAGGGTGAACTAGCCTATTTGTTTAACTGGGTGCTTTGCTCATTTGACTCGACCAACTGTAAATGGATACAGGATTTGCTTGTCACTGAGTTTCACATGGAGTGGGATTGGAGAATCTGAAATGCAAATTATACAAAACAGAAGCCCCTACGTTGTTATCATGTTCATGAAGGGATGTTTTTTTGTTTGGTTTCCTACTCTTATTATTCTAGAAAAAGCAGACAGTGCTCCTCTGTCTCATTAATGCTATCACTGCTCACTGTGTTATTTAAACAGGGCCTTTATTAGTGTTAGCCAACAGAAGATGACTATCAGAAGGCTATTGTCTTTATCCAAAATTCTGGCTTGAAACACCAAAACTGATATAAAACCAGATTTACAGAGGACAGACATTGGTGACTAGTAAACTTTTCTCTGTGTATGATCACATTTGCCTATAAGAGAAAAATGGAAGTTATATCTTTTTGTAATTTACAACTTTTTAATTTACAACAGAGGTGCATTATGTGTGCCAAATTATTTGTACCAGTGAGAAGGTGAGGATGGTGTTCACTCTTTTGGAAAATACATAGCAATTTGTTTAAGGTTACAGGTAAGACAACTTTATGTCCAAACCATAAAATTGTCTTATCTGTAAGCTTACATTACCTAATAATCAGGTTTTTATTGTACAAACTGGAATATATTACACTAGACCATACAGCATTTTAAATAATAAAAAAATGATGCATTAAAGCAAAAGACAGATACATAATTCACCGTTTCACTGTATCAAATCTGTTCCTATTATAATGCATATTTAGGACCAAGGTCTTTTAGACTGATGTTTTGCAGTGAGGTTAAAAACAAATTCTTGGTTTTTGGACCAGAGTAGGTTAATAAGATTATGAACATATTTTATGAGAGTAGAAGTGAGTCATAAATAGAAATAGAAATGTTACTAGATCTTCTTGCACATTTGATAAACAAAGAAAAAAGGGAGTGAGATTGTGATTATGTGTTTTCAATCTTTGGACTAACCACACAAATAGCTAGACACACAGGATTCTGTTACTTCCCATTCATTTCAAGCTTTGCATAATCTGGCTCTTTTTTAATCATCCTAATGGGTGGCATTTAGCTTATCAGGTTGGATAGTCATCCACCATTCTAAAGAGACACTTCAACATGGTGTTTGCAGATGGTTGGGTAACCTTTTTCTCATGGTCAAGTGTTAATGCAAAAATAGTTCTACAGTGATATATTGATGTTAATATGTTATCATGATTTATATTTACCCCATCAAGTTTTTTTTAAAAGCAGCAGTCACACAGTATTTGAGCTCTTTGCATATCATAGCTAGTGTACTGCATTCATAGAGATGCCATTCAGATGAACTCATAGGCTGGAGCTCAGATCCCCTGCTACTCCTGTTCATTGAAATAAAGGATTGTATGGGATTACAGTGGTAGGTGGAGCCAAGAGGTTGAAGCTGTGGCTAGGGTCAGGTCTCCATGGTAGCATTATAATGCTGAGTGTGTTTGCTTATTCATAAAAGCCTGCCGTGGGCTGCTGCAGCAGGCTTCCAGTGAGGGACACAACTGCAACCAAGGTCAGTGTCCCAGATCTCCATTACTGTTCTGTGGACTGTAATAATGTGCCAGACAACATAGAGCACATAGAAAAGGAGCATACGTTTGTAACATGTAGGAAACTTTTTCCTCATCGAAGCAGAAACCAGGAGACGTTGGGATATCTTTCATACAGAAGTCACTCTTTATTGAGGACTCGCTGTGCATCGCTGCAGTCATCCAAGTCTGACTCAGGCAGTAATACATTGTAGTTTATATACATTTTAAGGGGGCGGGATACATTCAGTAGAGGTGGAGACAATCTAACCCATAGCATGCAAATGAAGTACAGGCAATCAGCCCGACACCGGCATTTTCCCAGCCTTGATCTCATCAGCATAACAGTGTCATTCAAATGCATAGGTGCTAATCCAATCAGTCTGACAGTCCTAATTCAATCAGTATAACTACTCAAAGACTGGGGCAGAGGCACCA